CCATTTGATAACCACAATATATTTATTATACCTAACTTTTCTAAATTTTTATTCATGTCCTTAACTTTTTTATTGTTTATTCTTTTATTAGACTTATCTAAGTCTGACAGGCATACATTGAGATCCCCAATTGTTTTAGGTGTACTCTTTCTTCCTGTAAATTAACTTTTCCTTTAAGTATTTAGGTACTATGCCATTCAGTAGATATGCACTAAGTGTTAATATTGATTCATTGTCTATGCTGTCTTTTAAGCATAGCTTAGTTTCCCAATTCATCTATTTTAATCAATTTTTCTCTTTTAATCTTCTAATTACTATTTTTATCATTGCCTTGAGATTACAATTACTAGCTTTGCTTTTTAAAATTCAAATGAAACATAAGACTATTCTAGCCCCTTATTGTAATTCTATGTAAATTTGTCTCAAGGGTATTTCAAATTTGTTTCTTGTACACAAAATATTGTTAGATTTTGTTTTCTAATGCATTAAGGTAGTTTCCTTAATTTTAGAGGTGACCATCCCATTCACACTCACATTTATGATTATTAATTGTGTATTTCCTTCTCTCCTATCCTTTTCCCTTCTGTCCTTTTTTTTTTTTTTGCAAACAAGAAGAGGGTATAAAAAAGAGTGTGTTCAATACTAGTGATCTATATTTGATACCATCTGCTTCCATTCTTTTATTACTATTCTGTTTCTCTTGTCCAATAACAGATTCTTATTCTTCCTTCTTTTCCTTTTACTCCTGCCTTCTAAAGATGGAGTTTGTAAGAAGGTATCAAGGAAAATCTTGATCTGTTTCAAAATGCTGCTTACAATAGGCTCTGAATTAAGCAAAAGGTGAAGATACTCTCTTCTTCCTCTTCCTCCCTCTTGTTCCACAGGGACCATGCTCTTAGGATAAAGAAATCAGGACACTGTTATTATATTTCAATTAAGTTTTATGGACTAGACTGGGAACATTAATATTCATTGTACCGTTTCCATGAAAAACTATATTCAGAATTCTAAAGAACTGATTTGCAAAAGTGTTTTTGGAACAAAAGACTAAATTAGTAAATTAGGGATTTTTTATACTTCCTTTAAGGTCCACTTGAAGTGTCACCTCTTCTATTAAGTGTTCTCCAATTAATCCCACACTACACAGTGTTATTTTCCTTTTTTCTGAATTCTCTCTATTCTTATGTATACAGTACAAATGTATACTTTCCTATGTATAGGCGTGTATTTAGGAAATGCTCTTGGTTGCTACAAGATTTTATTTCCCCAACTACAATTCTAGCCACAGAGAAGTTGCTTGATAGTACTTGTTTAACTGAAATATATTAAATTGAACTTTTTCTGGATTTACTTGTCTACATGTCCCTTACAAAGTACTTTACTCACAGAGTTCATCACAGGTAGTCCATCAATATTCATTTAAGCTATAACTATCAAGTACCTACTATGTGTATTCCACTGGATTAAGGAATTGGGGGAGATATAAAAAAGTACAAACCCTAGTCTCTGCCCTAAAGGAGTTTTTTTTTAATGTTAGGAAGACAAGTGAAGTATCTGAGGGAAAATATAAATTAAATAATAATACAGGTGATGCCACAAAGCACTATACAATTATCTATTGAATGAATTGTATGGTTGATAAATGTGGGAAAAAAGTGGTTAACTATTGAGCTCTAGGAGGAAAATAATGTTGTAGGTTGAAGTAGTTAAGAGAGATTTCATTGAAAGAGATAATAATCCATGTACGTTGATAATTGCTTTTCTTTTAAAAAATAAAATTGTAGGTTTGCCTTTGGATTATAACTATTCTAAAGAGATAAAGTATTCAATATTGATGTTCAATAAAAAATTTTATATATCATTTAAAGGGACTGCCTAATTATTTGACAGTGTGACATAGGAAAAGAGTTCCCCAATATGTGTCAAAGGGATAGTAAACAGGAAAACAAACACCTACTTCAAGTTGTTCTAACTCTACAATCATTAAATGAAACTTCCATTTTATCTTGCCAGGCCTTCTAACTTCCATGATGCCCCCGGAGTAACCTTTAGAACTCAGACAGAATTCTCCAAGAACTCCTTCGGACGTGTCAACCATCTGATTTAAGCAATATTGTTCTTACTGCTCTAGTTTCTGTTGCTTCTAACTATATTCGAATATGATTTCATTTTTCACCTTGAAAGTTTCTCCTCTGCTTCCAGAGTAGGGCTGCCATGCGTGCAATACAGAGAACTGCACATTAGTAACCTAATTGTTGAACAATTAATATATAGAGAAACTATTGCTAAAACGTACTGGACACTTCTACAAAAACTGAAGAGGTTTTAGTTTTACAGTGTGAACTAGCCCACCAATTCATTCATTTAAATTTTCATACACTCTCTATCCATGCTTCTGTCCTAATTTTGTGAGAGGCCATGAAAGGAACTACCAGTACTAAATAGTACATGCTAGTAGTACTACATGGAGAATGACTAATAAATAGCACCATTGATTCAAAGAACACACCTATAAATGTAGAAAGAACATCACACTCAAGCAAAGATTAGTATCTGGTCCAAGGTATGTACACATCACTATTATACTCTAAGATAAATAGCTATAGCAAAGTCTATATCATGTATTTCATGAGTTAAAACATAAGTCAAAATCTTAAGAACTCAGATAATTTTTGGTTGTGATTAATAGATAATAAACTTCTGTAACTCACTTGTAAAATCAATCTATCGAATCATTTTAAATTTGTTTCTAGATCAAAGAACAGAAGCCAAGGCCAAGAAAGGTTATATGGTTGTATGACCGAGGCCATTGATTGAGCTCTAATTCTCAGTTTGTCTCAAGAATTCCTACATGGCAGTCTTACACTCTCTTCAGTAAATTATGCTGTTTTAATGACGTCCCAAAAGGTGACTTTTGGAGCACCATAAAAGAGTCCATGTCCTATAAATGTATGAACAGAAAAATCTGAGCCCATTGATCAGTGATCCAAGATTCCTTTTACATTCAAGTGAAACATTTACTACTTCAGAGCTTGCTTATTAAAAATCACCCGTCAGTCATTTTAGAAGAGGTTTCATCTGCCTTCTGGACAACAGGAAACAACACATTTCAATGTCTTCAAGCTCCCTGAGAGCAATAACCATGCATTCTCTAGCATGGTACCTTGAAGACATTAAGGACCTGATAAATGTGTTGCTGTTAAACTGTTTTATTTCATAGGTGCCTTCAACATTTTTGAAGGAACAGAAATTATAATTCACAGTGCTACTGTGAAGCAATTTGTAAAACTTAACATCCTGTATAAACATGAGTGGTAGATGCTATTGTTATACAATAATTGTTTATTTTATATTGTATATGTGATTATAGTTGACAATAACCTTGATGAAATGTAAAATAATACTGAGATAGTTATGATATATGATTTTTATACTTCTGAAGAAGGGAAATATAATTGCATATTATAACAACAGAATACTGATAAATTCAATTAAAGCAGAGTAGCATGAAAAGATTTATATGAACCTATGTAAAGTGAAATAAGCAGAACAAAGAAAGCAATGTACACAATGACTACTATAACAATGTATATGAAAACAAAAAATCAGAACTGAACTCTAGGAAATTGTGGTGACCAAGATGGCCCTAAAAATATACATACTTCTTTGCTGGGGCAGGAGGCTATGGGTATAAGACATTACATATAAATTCTAGTCCAAATCCTGCCTGGGTTGGAAAGCAGAGAAGACTCCTAACTCTATATTGATCTAATCTGGCAGGCTTGCTAGGTTTCTCAGCCCTTCTAGAATCTAACTCCCAATTGTATTTATCTCTGGCTAAGGTATTCTCTGGTTCACAGGAAGCATTTATTTAATGATCCATGCTTCCTTTTTATGCTATGCTATAAAGACTTAAAGGCAGCTAAGTAATAGTGGACAGAGCACTGGGCTCGGAGTCAGGAAGACTTGAGTTCAAACTTGGTCTCAGACATTAACTAGCTGTGTGACCCTGGACAAGACACTTAATTATATTTGCCTTAATCCACTGGAAAAGGAAATGGCAAACCACCAAGAAAATCTCATGGATAGCATTGGCATGATATGATCCATGGGGTCAGGAAGACTCAGACACAATAAATAAATGAACAACTTAAAGACTTTGAATTCTCAACCTTGATTCTTCTGGGGATATCTTAGTGACTCCAGGCCCTCCTGACTCCCTAGCCAAGAAAAGTCTTTCTCTATATGGTATCCATAAATATCTTTCCTGGGCATCAAGTCATTTTATATAGCTGCTCCATGGCTTCCTTCACTCTGTTGGTAGTTTCATCAACTTGAGTTCTGTCAATCTTAACTTGTTCTTACCTGCTCTATTTTGCCCATATTGATTTCCCTGATGTGGTTAATATATGTTTGCTAAAGGTGACTCAATCCTTTAGGTAAGGTTTTGCATTTCTACTTATTGCTCTAGTTTGGAACCTTAGCCTATTTCCATTCTAGTAACCATGTGGCCAGTTGCCATGAAGCCTAAGAGTCACCATTATCCTCGACACTTCCTTCCTCATATTGTTCTCTGCAAGGGTTCCCAATAAAGTGTACCCTTCCTGCATCAAAAGCTATGCTTCCACCCCCATCTGACATTGGTTCTTTTTTGATCCTTAGCTTATTGGCAAAGTAGAGCTGGCAGGCATGCAACAAACTCAGTGAATGCTTAATGTTCTAGTGACCAGAAATATCCACATCTCTCAGATGTTCAGTAATGACCCAACCATAATATACCTTGCTCTTCTACTTCACTATAAAGTTGGCCTTTTCAAGAATTCAAGTAGAAAAAAGAAAAAAAATATGTTTAACAAATGTTTAACAAATATAGTAATAATAATATAATAATAAATAATAAAATAAAATAATAACAAAAACAATTCCCTCTACCAGTAAGAGGACTACTCCCCACACAAACTTAAATGATATGCTACAAAAAATTTCGGATAAAGACATACCTCTTCTAGTTGGCAGGCTTTGATGACACTTTTATATCGGTATTCATCATAAGAAACACCAAAAATAATGTTTTCTTTAATAGTACCAGGCATAATCCAGGAGAACTGCGAGCAAAAGGAAATCCTTCCACTGTGCTTAATTTTGCCCTCTGAGGGTTCCAATTCTCCCATGATCAACATTAAAAGTGAAGTCTGAAAATGAAACCCAGTAGCATTAAACTGAGACATGTGACTAAATAAATTATTAACACATTCTCCTAGAGAGGTTATAGAATTCATTCACATTCTTCATCCCCAGAATGGCACTATATCTAAGTCATCCCAAACAAGAATATTGAATGAATGAGATGAAAAAGCATCTTTAAGCCCTTGTTATGGACAAAACTATAGATCTGAGAGACAGAACAGCAGAGTGGAGTTTGGAGTGAGGAAACTTAGGTCTGAATCTCTTCTTAGACATTTACTAGCTGTGAAATGATATCACTAAACCTTTCAGAGGCCTTGTGTCTTCATCTAGGAAGTGGAGATGATAATATTTGCACGACTTACCTTATAGGGTTATTGTGAGGAAAGTGCTATATAAAAATGAACTATTATTTATTTAAAGATGTTACAAGTCAATAAATGCAGCTGGAGAGAGAGAAAGGGACAGGGACAGGGGAAGGAAAGAAAATTGTAGCATAGTAGACAGAAAGCAAGTCTTGGAGCCAGGACAACCTAAGTTCAAGACTCATTTCTGATATATACTAGCTGTGTGACCCTGGGAAAGTCCCTTAACTTCTCAATGTTCTAAGTAACTCTGTAAGTTTCAGAGAAGGTGCCAACCTATACTGGTGAGAAGGAGTTTCTTCACTCAGAAGTTCCCTAAAATAACTATTTTGGAGCATTTTTCATCTTTTTCTGCTGCTCAATAAAAATGCTAAAATGTTCTTTTGAATACTTCATGACTCTAACAAAGATGCATTCTCTCATAAATACCTTGACAGGTTCTGTTTCTAAGACCTAGCTGGATTATTTGCAGGGACTGCCTCTCAGCTTGTGGTTTGGCCTTTCCCATTGTCATTCTTACAACTAACATTTAACAGTTCATCATTTCTTGAAATAATTGCTGGTAATTTAAATAAGGAGAGGTCTTATAATTCAGAGGTAATTACTTCTTTTGTATACCATAACTGATAATAAGCTACAGAATTAGAAAATAGAAAAATATTAAATGAAATACACTAACAACTTTCTTGTTAGCAAACTTGGGGTTATCTTTGAAGCAACCTATATCTTTCCTCCATCAAATTTTTCCCTTACCAATGACTACAGCTGGTGATTAAAAAAAAATAAAGAGAACACAGGGCCAAAAAAAAAGGAAGGGGGGGAAACAGTCTGCAGGGGAAATTATTTAGTAAGAAGAAAAATCTCACTGGTTCTTTCTCTGCAAAATCTGCATCATGGAGAGAAAACCAAAATTAGAGAGAACACTAAAAAAATTATATGAAATGGTACTGACACCCAATGAGCTAAATAATGTCTAAAACCAAATTCAATCACTGAGACTATTTTGTGACATTTATTTCCCATGTATCATGTAATAAATTCTTCAAAATACTAATAACAAGACTAGATGTGTATAATTAATTGTGCTCTGTTTAGAAAGAACCTTTCTACTTTAATTTTAATTTTTAACTAGCAGTTCTGTTGTTCCTAGTTCAACCACTTATAAACATTTGGTCCTAGAAAAAAATGTCTTTTCATGGAAAAACAATAGCTCAAAAGCTGTTGTGAAGTTAGTCAGCCTTTCCCCACATACTTTATGAAGTATGAAATCTAGACAATCATAGTCAAACAAGAATTTACCCTCTAATGGAAGCCCTTTAGAGAAAGATAAAGCAATTACACCTAGTAGCCCACTCTAATGTTCAATATTTCTCACTGTTGGGAAATTCTTTCTTAAGGTCTAATGGAAATTTCTCATGCATTTTAAATCTTTTTTCCACTAATTCTCACCCAAGTTATAGAGAGCCATAGTTCATCAATTCCTACAATAACTTGGATGCTTTCTCCATTGCATCCTTTTCCTTGTATTTCCCCTTGAACAGTCTACATTCTTTACTACCTTCTCAAATGAAGCTGTTCTCCATCAATTTATTTTCCTTTTCTCACCCTGAAATTTCAGTATCACTAACACTGTCTCCTCAACCTTCTTTTCTCTTAGCACTCTCTCCCTTCCTTATTTATCTATGTTTATTAAAACTCTTCTCTTTCTTCAAGATCCAGCTCAGGTACCACCTGCTCCATAAAGCCTTTCTTGATTTTCTCCTTATTCTCCAAGCTGAAAGCAGTTCTACCTTCAAATATTCTCAAAGTGCTTGGACTGGATTTTGCCTTTGCCTTATCACATTCCATCTTTTATCACATTAATTTGTACATGTGGAATATCAATCACCCTAATGAGATTGTAAATTCCAGGAAGGCAGGTAATAAGTAATTTTTCATCATTATGTCCCCAACAGTTAGCACTGTACTTTGTACATGGCATACATTTAATAAGCATTTGTTGAGTCAAACTGGATTGAAATGTGACCAGTATTAAGTGACACTCTGGCCTTCTGCTCTTTAGACTAATAAATATGGATCCATTAACTCTTATTTTCCAATCTCCTAAATCACCTTTTTTATATACTATCTATAAAGCCTTCTTTATTTCTGACAATTTCTGAATGCTAGAGATAATACTCTAGCAAGGGTCTTACTAGCACTATGAAAATCAACTTCTCTATCTTGTCCCTATTTATCCCATGGTTTGTTAAAAGAAAAAAAGGCAAAGAATTTTATAAGGTTGCATAACTTAATGTAATAAAATGAGAAATTATTGCTTACATAATAGAAGCAGTGAAATTTTTAGCATATCTCATATATTAGCAATTTAATTAATGTAACATGCTTGAAAAACCTTAAAGATGTCTGTATACATGTATATACAAACACATGTATAAAAAGTGTTGCAAAAGTCTTAATGCAGTGTTAATGTAGTAAAGCTTAAGCTTCTCTAAGGCTTTTAGGATACCCCATATATGTTTATATATACACACACATATACATACGTAATACATACACATCTACATACTTGTGTGTATATACGTGCATGCATATATATCTGATATATACATACTCTCATATATACATGTGTATATGTGTGAACACATACATACACATATGCACGTATCAGCCTTTAAGAAAAAAAAACTAGACCTATGATTTCACTGATGTAGGAAAGTAAGCAGTATGAAAACTTCCTCCATTTGATGCTGAGTGTTTAAGTGATTTACCCATCGTCAAATCAGAGGCAATATCTAAACCTAAGACTTCCAGACACCAACGCTGGCCACATTTTACCTCACCACATCTACAGCAGTTGTACCAGATCATCAGTATTGTTATTAAGCCTAAAATAATTTTTGGTAAATTCTGATAAAAATGCAGATGGTTCCCTAAATCACTCCTTCAACATATTATTTCCTGAGGATTTATTATATAATTCACAAACACTATGGGGTAGGTAGGTGGCACAGCGGATAGAATGCCAGGCCTAGAGTATGGAAGACAAGTTCAAATCTAGCCTCACACACTTATTAGCTGTGTGACCCTGGGCAAATCCTTTAACCCTATTTGCACCAGTTCCTCATCTATAAAATGAACTAGAGAAGGAACAGTATCTGACCCAAATGGGGTCATAAAGACACAGGTGCTACTAAAATGACTCAACAACATTATGGTTAGGCATCATGCTACAGGAAGCAGAGTAGTATAAGAGCATCATTCCCTTCATGGACTCCATTTGATACCCTACTTTCTAATAATGTGTCAAATCTGGGAAAAAACTATTCCTATAACTCTATATATTTGTGCCTACCTGAAAAGTTAAATTACTTCACCATTCATCATTATAGGAGAGAAATTATATCTAAAAATTCCACTGAAAGTAGTATGCTGTATTAAACTACACCACACATTAGAATCACATTGGAAAGACAAAAGGGAAATATTAAGGAAATCTTTAAGTTGCAAGAGTAAATATAGCACAAATTTGTAAATAATGTTTGTAGCTAACATACATAAAATGGAATACCTTGCCTGCCCCAGTAGATCCAGCAACAGCCAATAACTGTCCTTTCTCTATCTTGAAGTTTATATTTTTAAGGACGGGAGTACCAAGAAGTGAGAAGTTGCTGAAGAAGAGGCCATTGTCACCATTGGAAAATTTCCCATCACTGTTGTTCTGTTCTGCCTTTACAAACAAATCCCCAAATCCCTGGAAAAGAATACACAGAAAATAAAAGGGAGGCATATCAGTTAATTATTTATCCTATCTTTTAACTTAAGTGCTTCATAAGACCATAATTTTGTTAGTGTGAGTACTTGCTACATTTGTGTATATTAGCACCTTTTCATAGATAATATTCTATGTCTTACAGTACCAACCCCTCCCCAAAATCACCTCATCACCAACCACTTAGCAATGAACCTTTCCAAACTTAAGTAGTTCAGATAATGATAGACATGAGTCTCTCCCAAAGCCTGTAATCTAGATATTTTCAAGTTGATAGAAACTCTAGTATTAAACTTGTGATTTTCTAGAACTCACTATGAGCTATCATAGTCACACATTAGGGAAGGATCCTATGTCTTTTTACCAATTTAAAATAATTTTTAATCAAAATGCAAAACATTTGAAAGTTATAGCATATTTCATTAGATTCTAAGACACCCTCATACACAATGTAACTGACTGAGAAATTCAAACCACTAAAAAAAAAAAAAAAAAAAAAGAGAGCCCAGATATCTTAGGCTTTCCATAATGTACTGCTGAAGGGCAGTAACACTATACCCACTCTAACCTGGAACAAATCAGGAGAATAAATGAGTGGAGATTGACTACATCTGGCACACACCTGGTTCCTTTGAACTTCTAGATGAGGGAGCTTCAGACACATACAGTTAACCAGAATAGCTGGCCTTCCCTCAGGTGCCTTATTACTATCTATGGCTTTAGATGAGACAGCAAGGAATTGAGGAGATAAGAAAAAGGAACTATCTCTTCCTCTTATTGGGATGGTGTTTGGAATTTCTACTCATAACGAGACATGAGCTGAGCTGATTTTTAAACCAATCTGTGCATTTTCAATAGATAAAGATTTGGGTGGGGGGAGAAAGAGAGAAAGAAGCTCAGGTGACCCAGGAGCTAATAAGACCCAGCCTAATACTGGAGTGAGCAAAATAACTGAAACTAAGAAAAATGTTCTGTTTTCTTTTTTTCTTGCTCCTATTTTTTCTGGTTTCTTTTTGGCTCATATTCTCTAGGCACAGAAGGCCTAAATGACCAAAGGGAAAGTTCCTGCTGCTATTGTTCACTGCAACAAAAACTATTCTCTAATATTAGAAGATACAAAATGCTATTTGAGGGAATAAGAAATATAAACAATTAATAGAAAAGTTTCCAAACTGATAAGTGTATCAAAGTATAAGAGTACTAAAAGTTATTGGTTTGTATATCTTTGTGTAGTGTAGGCAAAGTGTAAGGGACTAGGGGTCATGAGTCCTGGATTTTATTCTAGATTCCACTACTTACTCAGCTACTTGGCCATGGGATCTCGAACAAAGAACAACATCTCAAATTCGCAATTCCCTTTGATTAAAAATAATATGTAACATATGCTTGACCTTTTTAAGCTGTATTTTTTCATCCAAAAAAAATAGGAGGATTGGTTAATGTCAACTCTAAAATTCTATTGTGACTATAACCCTGTCATCCTACAGAACAAATCCAAAATATAAAAGGTCAAAATGTTTAAGTATTTAGAGCAAATAAAATAAAATACAATTATTTGGGTGTTTTTTTAATCCTGACCTCATCCCAGAATGCTGTTATGTTTTCCATCACAACATCTGTAGTTGTCAAGTTATATTCCAATGTTTTATATTCTTCTTTTTGTAAGAAATCCTGTTTATAAAAGAGAGCAGAAACAGATACTGTGTGACCAAAAATAACAATTATACACTGGTATACCTATTTCCAATGCATCATTATCTAAATTCCAAATACAGATACTATAATCTGAGTTTGAAACTTCTTAAGAAGTGTAATTTAGAGACTCAAGAGCTAAACAGTTATACCCATATTGCAGAATTCTGAAATGAATTTTTACATTGCAGCAAAAACCATACTTGAACATACAAAATTTTCAGTAAAACAAATTTTTCTTTGTTAACAAGGAACTGGTTCTTTCTCAGTATGTCCAAATTCCAGAACCATTGACTCTGTTAGGAAGAAAACTCTACCCAGAGATACTTAATCTTTTGGCAATCCAGTGAAACCCATGCATTGCTTCTCAGAATAATGTTATTTTTTCTTTTTCTTTTATTTTTTGGCTAGGCAATGGGGTTAAGTGACTTGCCCAGGGTCACACAGCTAGTAAGTATTATGTGTCTGAGGTCGAATTTGAACTCAGGTCCTCCTGAATCCAGGGCCAATGCTCTATCCACTGCTCTACCTAGCTGCCGCTAGAATGATGTTTTTAAATGCAGAAAATAAATACAAAGATAACAGAAAAAGCCAATGACATTAAAATACAGTTATGAAAAAATGTTAATGATCAGAGACTCCAGGTTAAGGATCCCTGCTCTAATCACATCACCAGGTTGTCAGAGCTGAGGATTGTAGAGGATAGAACAATAACAAGAAGCAGAGAGCCTGATGCCAGGGTTGGTCACCCCAACTGACCATCTTGAGTCAGAAGCCTGCTGATCTGACAACACAGATAATTTTCCTATGCTGAGGGTGCTTGTATTATGCCCATCTTGCAAGGAAAAAAGAGTCCATAACTCAGGATTTAGCAGAAATCTCTATCCTCCAGCTGTCGGTACTCATACATTGGAAGTACCCTCAGCACCTGCGGATTTTCCACTTGAATGAGTAGCTCCTCTCAGAATCTCCATTTAAGAAGGGCTCCCAGGCCAGCTATGTCTCATTCTTCTTCAGGCTGCACTTCATATTCCCTCAGGCTGCCCTCCAGCCACCCATCCATGTTCTGTATACTGAAGGGACCTCCACCTTCTAATTCCCCACCCCACTCCCATTTTCAGCTTCCTTTTTATGTGTTTATGTGTTACCCCACAACACATTCATTCTGCTTGTATTTTTTTTCCATTGTTTAAAACAATGTCTGGTATATAGTAGACATTTAATAAACGCTTATTGACTGACTGACTCTATACTGCCTAGATACACGGTTCAACATGGCTGGAATATCAAGGAAGCCTATCAGAATTTTAATAAAATATATTCGCCTTACAGCATATTAATATTATAATTTTATCCTTAATGTTACTGTTACTAGTTATTATGATTTCATCTTTAGTACTATTACTACACTAATTACTATGCCATAAACTTACTAAACTAAGTAGAAGATCTGATACAACTCTTCCTAAAAGATCAGTCCATGGTCCTAAGGAAAAAGAGATTTTAGAAGTTACATAAGTCAAAGGTTTTTACCATCCTTGCTAGGGAAGATAAGCGCAGAAAAGAGATACAAGAATGGAGCACAACTATACCAAAGACTTTCACGCTTGTTTCTCTGACTCACACACATGTAGTTAGTCCTCTTGGGAAGTGTAACCCGACTTCCAATATAAGCTCGAAAAAAAACAGCTTCTGGTGAATGAGTAAATGGCCTCTTAAAGTTACTGATTTAAAGTTTTCACTTTGATTATTATTAAAGATTATAGATCGAGAACTGGAAAGGACCTCAGAGACCGTCTGCCAACTTTCTCATTTTACAGATGAGGAAACTGATGCCCAAATAAGTGACATGCCCAAGGTCACCGAGGTAGTATTCATGAGAAACAGAATCCCTAAATTCAAAAGAGATCCTGCTCAAGGTCTGAGACCTTCTTCATTTAACATATTCATATATATATATATGTGTGTGTGTGTGTGTGTGTGTGTATGTATGTATGTATGTATGTATATATATATCCACTCATAAATATAACATATGTTATATATAGTGTAGTAGATAGAAACTGAGCTAGCTAGCTAGTTTGAAGGAAAAGTCAGGCTCAAATCCTGCCTCTGGCACATCCTGTCTATGTAACCCCTGGACAAATCCCTCTCAGTGCTCTAGGTAACTTTTTTTTTTTGGAGGCAATTGGGGTTAAGTGACGTGCTCAGGTTCTCATAACTAGTTAAGTGTCTGAATCCAAATTTGAACTCAGGTCCTCCTGACTCCAGAGCCAGTGCTCTATCCACAGCGCCACCTAGCTGCCCCTGCAGGTAATTCTCTAAGACTATGCATTGCAGGGGAGGCATAAGTACCTGTCGGAAAGATACATTGTCAGAAAGGATGTCTTATTTGGGAGTTCCTTATAGCAGTGATATCACAGGTCCAGACTCTATTTCTATTATTCCTAACTTTATATTATAATCCAGAACTGTAAGTTCTTTCAATAATTGATATAAGGTGATCTGGAGAAATATTCTGAAGATTAGAATAAAAATGAAAATAACCCGTAAGTTAAATATTCAAAGGAAGATCAATAAATGTTCTACTAAAAAAAGTCACAGAAATTTTCATCTCTTTGTGCATTTGTAGATAATGAAAGGAAGTGTGGTTTGGTTGAAAGAACACTGGATTTGGAATCAGAGGACCTGGGTTTGAATCCTGGCTTTGCTACTTACTACCCATGTGACCTTGGGGACTTAACCGCTCTGAGTCTGGAAGATGAAGAGATTGAATTAGCTGACCTCTAAGACCCACTCAGCACTGTGCTTAGCACAATGCCTGGCACGTAGTTGTTGTTATTCATCCTTCTTTTTGAAGAGGACTGATTATGTCACAGGGTGATGTCTTGACTTTCTCATGAATTGGATTTAAGTGAGGCAGAGTTGCACAAAGTCATCAACCTCTCATCAGACTCTTCCGGGGTCATCAAAGTCCAGTAGCAAGACAAAAATCAGGACAACTGATGATGGCCCGGGAAGCAGTGGATGACCTTGGCAATTTTGATGTCTGACCAATCTCTAAGTGCTCTGCAGCACCTGCTTCAGCTGCCTTCGTGGCCATTGGAATAAATTATTCTCATCTCATCTCCCATTCCACTGGGGGAAATCTTCACATGCTTGCAGTAGATATCTCCCTAACTCACAAACAAGTTTGAGGCCTCTCAGTTATTCTCAAGTAGTTTAGCCCATCTACCTAGATGGTTTATTGAGGTGTGGCCACTGCCCATGCTACACACACTTGAAGCCACAGGTGAGAGTTGGGTGACAGGTGGACATCAAAGGTGGATGAGCAGCCCTGAAAAGGGCTCAACAAGCCTTCAAATGAGAGGCACTAGTCCTCCCTGAACACTCCATATGGCACGTGGCACATAGTAGGTATTTGATAAACATTTATTGATTGCCTTAGTCTATGATTCAATGAGAGTAGAAAAGAGTCCATCCTACATTTTAAAAAGATAACTTACTACATGTGTGTTTTAAAGCTTCTCTCAAAAGGTCTTAATGTTATCATTAATGCTGAGTTTTGCGAGTAATTTGACTTGGCATATAAGGCCATTTTGGCTCAGACTTAATCATTTCCAACCATATGATTTAGAAACATTTATCCTAACAGAGGTATTGCCTGATAAATTTCATATCTTTCTCCTAACAGAGGTATTGCCTGATAAATTTCCTATCTTTCTAGTTATTCTGCCACCAATCTATGTGAAAATGAACAATCTCAGGGCTAATCCATTGAGAATCAACAGAAAAGTCTCTGGACCAAAGAAAAAGGAACTCCTAAAACACTCTGCATCCATCATTCCTTTCTTTCAATCCAATAGCCCTCTCTGTAGAAAAATTCATCAGACTGAGAACAGCTGTTGTGATGAAATAGCCTATGCTTGAAGAAGGCTCATACCCCAAGATTCCCATTTACTAAGATGGGTTCACTACGCAAGTGTAGAAATACCCAGAAAGTGCTGCACATTATGTGTAGCTGTTATACACTACCTGTATTTTGTTTATTGCTCCAAGAGAATCATACCAAGTTTGCACAGCCCAGGGAAACTGCCGAGTGACCGCCATTCGAAGAACGATGCAGAATGAGATGGTTGTAAATATTTTTCGCAGAATAATTCCTTTGATCAAAGCATAAGGAAGCACAGCTAGAAATACAACAAAGAAACCTGAGAAGAAGAAGGCTGAGCTATTGAAGTATCTCACATATGCGGTTTTTCGGGTCAGTTTCAGTTCAGTTCTGTAAAAACAAAGCAAAACAAAATGAATTTTGGGTAGTATTTCAGAGCTGCCGATTTGATGCATCTTGGAATTTAATCTCAGAATGTTATCTTTTTTCAAACTGTCAGGCAGTCTAGGGGCTTGCTGAAAATGTCATTCGACTGAATTGACATATAATTAATTGGTTAAAAAAAAGTGTCCAATTCCCAAATATTTCTGGAAATCAGAGAGGAGGCATTATTCAGACAAAGAAGGCTATTCTTAATCTAAAATTCAATTCAACAAAATTTCATCACACACCTACAATGAAGTGCATTAGGGTTAAATATAAGAATAAAACTTCTGCAGTAGATGATATTCTGGCTAAATGCTAATATTTCTATCTTTAGGTTTTTTTTTTAAACATGTTCTTTTTTAGAAGCAATGACACTTAGCTAATCACATCCTAGATTCCTATCATCAGGTGCATCTCATCAAAATTTCTCATTCATTTCAAAGAAGCTTCAAATGTAGAAGTGCTATATAGGCTGTGATAATATATCTGCCCTAATGTTGCTAACTATGTAACTACTCTTCTTACACAAGAGAGTTTCTATATTAAGAAAAACTCCATTTCTTAAACTTTGTTCACCTTTAGTATTCTCTTTTATTATAACACTCCTTTTAAGACACTCTTCAGATACCCCCCAAAATATTTATTTGAATTACATAAAAATAAGCACCATGCTATTACATACAATAGGGAGTAAATTTTATTTTTGAAAAAAAATTTACCCTGAGAAGTTGTTACAGATGTAAATTTAAATAAATGTAAAGAAGAGTTTAGATAATAAAGGAATGATAATACCATAATAGGTATTAAAAATACATTTGAGATGTTCAGAGTACATCTTTAATCTTTGTAGGTGATAATTTGGAGAGTAATTATTGTGTCTTCCCACAGTATATCACTTGTGTCCATTGGCAGAGATGTAATACTGGACTGGATGGTCTACTGGTCTGACTTTTTGAAACAATTTGTAACTAAGCATTTTTTTTATTTTAGTGAAATTAAATATGGAATTCAGGAAAGTGTTAAATGTGTAACTTTTCTCATGTAGTTTAAAAGAGAAACTCATTGATACCATGCTAATAAAGATATCTATAATTACTTATAGCTCACTACTTTTCATATTCAAAAAAAGAAAATTTTTAAATTTTTTAACATTTTTGACACTACTAGGTGGCTCTTAAAAATATTTTAGATCATTCCTAAGCTATATGTCAATAAAACAGTTCTGTTACCTTGCTGTCATCCCAAAGTCTTTCAGTCCTCTTGCTCAAAGAGCAATTTAAGTGTTTAAACTTTGGAGATGTTTCAGCAGGTATTTGGACAAATACCATAGAAATCTGAGTTACGACACGTAAGGAAACAACAAAAGGGACCAATGAAAGTTTATGTCAATATTGAGTCCAACTTCAGGCTCTATCTCTTCTGGTTCCATGTTGCTCACAGGACACAAGGACCCATCCCATCTAGCCCTGGTATAAAGAAAAAATAATGGGACTAGGGACTATACTAAAGGAGAGGTCAAGCAGACAAAAGCACCACACGGTATTTTTAGGGAGTGCACAGGAAATGTGAGTTAGTCCCACTTTATATACATAATCTAGGTATGGAGTGCTTTGTACTAAAGTAGTAGAAAAAATTATTGTTTAATTTTTTCCCAAAAATAATGTTCCAAAGAAAAAGGAGATTAAACACACGATGAGATGAAAGTGATTGAATTTGCTCAAGCTACACAATGACTTAGTCCATGAGTTTTACTTATTTTAGTAAGCCAAGTTAAAAATGTTGGCTAAGGTCAATTTAAAATTAATAAAATCTCAAATTATTTTAAAACTCAAAATTTTTATGAAAGTTAAATTACATTTAAAACACTAAGAATATAAAAAGATAAAACAGCTTAAAAAAGAACAATGGAGGGAGAAAGAAGCACAAAGGTATACTGGGAAAAGAAAACAGATAATTTAGAAAAAATAACTGGAAGCAGAAAAAGGGAGACTTTTTTTAAAGATTATTCTCTAATGAGTAGTATTTTTCATTTGAAATCCACTTATGCTATATGAGTTACAAAAATACTTTTATCAGTGTCTTTTGAAAACTAGAAAGTGATTTTATGACAGAAGTGCAATAAAACAATAGCTGTGACCTGAGCTTTGGAGCACACTTTTGCCCTGGTTCAATGCTGGCACAGGCTGAGTTTAATCACTCTATTGCCCTTCATCAGAGCAATCTCTCTCTGAACGTTCTATTTGATCTCTCTGGTAGATGCCAACTATTTCCCATATTTACGTCAGTTCAAAACATGCCTTTCGTCAGCAATTTCCAACCTTTTCAAGCAACAATTTCATGCCAGATTAAGGAACTAGATTTTATAAGCCACAACTAAGCATTCACTTTGCCAAAAAAAAGCCCAAATGGGGTCATGCACAGTCGGACACAACTGAACAACAAGCATTTACTATTAAAACTATGCAAACATCAATTTACAGTGGAAAGGATGGGTTTCACAAGATTATAGATGTAAAACTGGAAAGGACCTTAAAGATCAGTCCAACCCTCTCATTTTACAGATGAAGAAACTGAGGCCTGAAGAATGATTTCTCCAAGGTCATATAGCTAGTAAGAATCTGAGGTGAGATTCAAATTCTGACTGTAGACCTAGCTCTCTATTCACCATAACACGTTATGTTATGTTGTCATGTTATGTTATGTTATGTTATGTTATGTTATGTTATGTTATGTTATGTTATGTTATGTTTGTTATGTTACATTGTTATCTTTTGTAGTAGAGGAAGAAATAGCCAAAGTCAGAAGTAGGGATCACCTAGATAAAATTTATCATGGAGGTCTGAGCAAAAGGATAACTGCTAACCAGTCATCTAGCTTGCCATTCCAGCACTAATATATACAACAGTGATGAAGATTGTGATTGGCTAATCGCTGTTACTTCCAAAAACAACTCCTAAGTCCTACACAAACTGCCATGGTATTGTAAACTTTTTCTAGATGATGGTGAGAAAAATTCTGTGGCTTTCCTGGATTCTTTCTTAAATGGCATAACAAAAATAAATGACCAATAACCATGTTTGGGAAATAGTACTCTTTTACTCCTTCTATTTATATGGCAGGGGACTTAACATTTCACCTTTTCTTTCTTGTTATTCCAATCACACACCTGTAGTTTAGCTCTCATTCCTGTCTACATGAATCAACCCCTTGAATTCCAGGTAACCCATATTTAGCTCATCCAAGAAAGTACTTTTCTTTTAGTCTACTTTTCCCTTTGAAACTTTGATGCAATATATAAATAACCCTACATTACTGATCACTTTTCACCAACTTTCCTGAACCAGTATGTCTCCCATCACTCGATTTCCTAATTTTTCAAATTTCCAGATTCCTAATGTTTAAGGAACAAAGGCTTTGGCTAAAGGAAATTGACCTTCTATGGCTTGGAAAATACACTGGATTAATTTTTTGCCAAGGGTTAGTTGAGCAATCGTAACACAGTCTGTACTGTATGGCTTCCCTGGATATAGTCTTGAATGATCAAAGCAAGAAAGTTATTTGGGGTGAAGCCAAAGAGGATCCCAAGTGCTAGGTACTAGTAGTTTTTTACAAATGGAGAGGCACTGTGGCATAGTGAATAGAATTCCAGCCTTAGAGACAGGTTCAGGTTCTGCCTCTGACACACAAAACCCTATGACCCTGGGCAAATCACTCAATCTCTCAGTGCCCTAGGCAACTCTCTAAAACTCAAAGTTTCAGAAAAGTTTCCAGTCTATTTCATACAAGGAATCTCCCTCCTTAGTTCTATATACCAATGAAAGAACAGTTCCAAACCAAAACAAAGAATCAATTCAAATCAAGTAAAAATGTATTCATCAAGTACCTACTATGTGCCAGGCACTATGCTAAATTCTGAGGATACAGAGAAAGACAGAATAGTCCCTACTTTCAAGGACTTCACAGTCTAATGGAGATAACATACAAGCTATGTATGAACATGACTACACACACACACACACACACACACACACACACACAATAAAATTGTAAATAATCTCAGAGGAGAGGCACAGAGATTAAGAACCAAGAAAGGTTTCTTGCAGAAGGTGGGACTTCAGCTGAGACTTAGAGGAAGCCAGGGAAGCCAGGAATTACAGATGAGGAAGAAGAGAGTTCCACTGGGGAAAAGCCAGTGAAAATACTTGCAGCTACAACATGGAGTATCTTTTGTGAGGAACATCAAGGAGGCCAGTGTCATTGGATCATGGAGTGTGTGAAGGTAGTAAAGTATAAGAAGACTGAAAGGGAGGAAGGAGAAATGATTCCTATTGGTGATTTTCATTAAATAAGCTGCATTAACTTCAAAAGCTTAGGTTCATAGGTTCAAATGCTAGGGACACAGGCTTAGGATTTTGCCTCCATAAGTTACTATTCTTGTTTTAAAGAACACATTTCACCAAAGAGATTTCGTATTTACCATTTATTATAAGCCACATAACTGTCCATGAAAGCCATTTCCCAAAGACTCACGGCACTGTGCAGGTGATACATTGGTCTCAAAGGCTATGACAAAGGAATACAAGCTCTAGTGAGACTTGTCAAGCTAGAAAATCTTTGATTAGCTGGGCTATTTTGAGCCTAAAAACTCAAATGTATGTGTACATATGTATATGTGTGCATTTATATACTAATTCAATAGACAGACTATCTATAGCATGGCATGGTCTGGATATTGGACATTTTCAACTCCTTCTATTTTTCTCATATAGATTGTTAGACCCATCTCATTTGAGTATTCATGGATTTCATTAAGAAGGCCCTGTAATTGAATCAGCAAAACATCTTCACCAAACAGAAATATACTGAGGATTGTAATATCAATAAAGAATATCTCTTCCATCTGGACCTTGCACAGCATCCTAGATGTAGAGCTGAAAGAGACCTCAAAGGCCAATAAGTACAAC